AATTATTTTATAATTACCTGATATTATCCATCCAGTGAAACCAAGTTTTGTTGTGTTGAGATGGTATAATTATAAGCTCACCATTTGTGACAGCTTCTGATGCTTGTTTAGCCATTTGGTCGCAACGAATGTACCACTGTGGTTTAATGAGGGGTTCAACAACATCTTTGGATCGACTACAAATAGGCACAACCATAGGATTGTCAACTGTTTCACAATAAAGATTCTTTTTTTTCAATGCTTGTAAAACGGCCTTACGTGCTTCAAATCTTTTCATTCCCTTTAATATTCAACTGGAATTAAATTTAAGATTAATAAGTATTACATCCAAAAAATACTTACATTAAATTCAGTACAATCGCCAATAATTACACCATCATCATTAAATATTGTTATAAATGGTAAGTTGTGACGTTTACCAACTTCATAGTCATTAGGATCATGAGCAGGAGTTATTTTTACCGCACCTGAAATTAATTATAATTAAATATTGTACTGTTATTGAAATACATTATTTTTGGAAAACTCACCTGTTCCAAAGTCTTTTTCAACAAAATTGTCACACACTATTGGTAATATCCTGTCACAAAATGGATGTTGCACATGTTTACCATGCAAGTGTCTATACCTAGGATCAGATGGATGAACTGCTACAGCTGTATCTCCCAGCATAGTTTCAATTCTAGTGGTAGCTACAACAATTTTCTCATCTTCTCCTATGACTTTATAAGAAAAAGATACAAGAACGCCAAATTCAACTTTTTCTGTATAMCCAGGTATGGATAGGAAGGTTCGACCAGGCAGTTCAATCTTGTCTACCTATAATTAATTAAGAATTTATATTAATAAGTATTTTAAAAATAATTTGATATTCTTAACTTGTATTACAAATATAAATTAACCTCAATATCAGAAATAGCACTTTTTAAAGCACATGACCAATTTACAAGACGATTGCTTCTATATATATCACCATTTTCATGTAAACGTATAAAAGCCTCTGTGACTGCATGACTGAGTTTAGGGTCCATGGTAAAACATGCACGGTCCCAATCCAATGAAGATCCTAACAATTTCAGTTGTGTGTATATACGATCACCTTTCCTAAGATATAACCATGATTTATGAAATATTCTACGATATTAGAATTTAAAGTTAATGATTTAAATTTATCTTTATTCAATACTTACTCTTTTTTCCACTCCCATATTTTTTCAATAAATTTTTCACGACCAATATCATGTCTATTTTTATTTTCTTCACGCCACAATTTTTTTTCAACTACTACTTGAGTTGCAATTCCTGCATGGTCACAACCAGGATTCCATAAGGTAGTTTTACCATTCATYCGATTCCTAGTAAATTTTGAAAACAAAACAATAYTTAAAATATCTTTTTGGTTTAAAATTAAGTCTATAATAAATATAGAAATATTTACCACCGAGTAATTGCATCTTCTACGGCGTTAGTGAGAGCATGCCCCAAATGTAAAGATCCYGTCACATTAGGAGGTGGAATAATCATAACAAATTTTCCTTTGGGATTATCTTCCAATACATTTTTTTTCTAAAATATAAAATAGGTATACATAGACATTAAAAATAAAATGTATGATATTAGACTATAAGAATATTGTATATAAATAACAGTTAATATCAGTTAAGAAAAATTTTGAATTATATAGGTATCTAAAACAATATTGTTTTATAGAAAAATAAAAATAAATAGTTATGATTATAAGTTTATCATTAAGGTGTACCCCATATTCCGGTTTGAAAAATCCTTCTTTTTCCCACCAGCTATACCATGCAGCTTCAACATAAGCAGGGCTATATGAATCTGGCATTGGGCACGAAACATCTTTCTTTTCACCAGGTTTAGTGTCTCGATCATAAACTGCTACTTCTTTTTCTTTCTTAACTAACTCTTTTTTTTCTTTTTTCTAACACACAAAAAAAATATACATTACAAATGAAATAGCATACAATTTTAGTTTAATATAGCTAACCTATAAATCCAATATTTTGACATGGATAAAATGWAATTAATACTATAATCTATAACTAATGTTTATTTTATAAGTAACACCAAGAACATATTAAAATTAGAATACGCCCGGAATACATACTTCTTCTTTCAGTGTATTCTGTTTCTGATCTTG